CATGGATGGGCACACCCACAGCGTCACCTCCAAGCCCCTCAGGAGGGGCCACATTCCCTGCCTTGGGTCAGGAATGCCTCAAATCCACTTTTCACCCCTGGCTGGGCAGTGAGGAGGGAGAGCAGCTCCTGTGGGAGGGGGAGGGTGGGCAGTGGCACGTTGGGAATGTGTGGAATGCCCGGAGTTATCTTGAAGCAGAACAGGCCCCTCCGAGCTGCTCCCAGGTTGGTTTGGCTTCCCTGCTCCAGCCCCAGGGGCTGCAGGGAGCAAACACTGTTCCAGGGGATCATTCCAAGGGATATCCTTCCCTCAGGAGCAGCAGGAATGGGTGTGCCCAGAAACCCCACAGCAGGGATTTCCTCAGTGGTGCAGGTTCCCCATTCCCATTCCACTCCCAAAACAGCCACCTGGAGCTGCTTCAGGAGCAGCTTCCCAATTTCCTTCCCTGAGGACAAGGCTTATCCCCTCCAGGAACACCGGGAAAACCGGACTGAGATCCCAGAATCCCACAATGGTTTGGGTGGGAAGGGGCCTTAAAAATCCTCCAGTTCAGGGACACCTTCCCCTATCCCAGGTTGCTCCAACCTGGCCTTGGACACTCCCACGGATCCAGGGGCAGCCACAGCTTCTCTGGGAAATCCATTCCATCCCTCCCCACCCTCACAGCCAACAATTCCTTCCCAATATCCCACCTTTTCCCTGGAGACGATCCATGGCAGTGCACCCAGGCCAAGCCCCATCCCCACAGAGCTGCCCATCGAGCCTCAACCTCCTCCCCCACTTAAACCTCTTTTTTTTTTTTTTTTTTTTTTTCCTTTTTATTCTTTTAAAGCCCTTCCTCGAGGCCTGTGGGATTTAGGGAAGCGTTTTGGGAAGAGCGTGCCGAGCTCTCCCCCACCCCCCGGGGCCGGAGCGGAGTCACCGATGAGGGTTTTTTTTTCTTTTTTTTTTTGATTACAACAAACCCCAAAGCGGTCGGGACCTGTCCGGTGACATTCCTGAGCCACATCGCCTTTCCCAAGCCCGGCTCCTCCCACAAATCCACCTCTGGGAGCGGCAGGGCCGATTGAAAGGATGCTTTTTGAGGATGACTAAACAGCAGCAGCAGCAGCAGCTCCGGCTCTCGTGAAGTTGAAGAGCTTGAAGGTTATTTCTGTTCCCCTCCCTTTTTCCGAGCCCTTTTCCCTCGGATTTTTAGCTTGGATTTTTACCTCGCTTTGCACAACCACCCCAATCCCACCCCCCCCCCCGCTCCCTGGGAATGGGAGGGGGTGGCAATTCCAAACTCCATCCCAGATCCCCCCCGTGGGGTACCCGTGTCCCAAACCGGCTTGTTTTTCCCAGTGGGAATGAGGCGGAAAGGCCAAAGTCCACACCCCCACCCTGCTCCTCACAAAGGCGGATCCGGGGCTGCGCTTCCTGCTCTGGGATTAAAAATAAAAAAAAAATAAAAAAATCACAGGAACCCGCAGGAATCCCGAGTTTTTCCAAGAGAAATTCCTTCCCCCCCTCCTCAAGGAGAGGTGGGATGGGGGGGATTAGCCGAGCCGGGATTCCCAGGAGAGCAGCAGGGTGGGCACAAAGGGCTTTGTCGGTCCTGGGAGTTCGAGAGGGAGAGGAAAAAACAAGGAACAAAAAGACGCCAAAAAAAAAAAAAAAAAAAAAGGGGGGGGGATGGGCCGAGGGGGAGGTTTGAGAGGATCAGGAATGAAAGAGGAGGAGGAGGAAGAGGCCAAGAAAGGTGTGGGAAACCAAAATCCAAGAGGAAATGGAATTATAGGCTCTCCTTTCATCCTGGTCAAAACTCACCTCGGATTCCAGGGGGGAAAAGGGACGTTTAACGAGGAAAGGAAAAGCAAATCCAAAGCCAAGAATTTGGGATGCAAACATTCCCTGGGGAGCAGATCTCGCCCTGCTTTGCCTTGCAAAAAATCCCTCTGGATCCCAACAGAACACGCTGGGGCTGGAGAAGTGGAAAAAGGGGAAAATCCACAGGGAAAGCAAAGCTTTCATCCCAAAAGCTGCCTCCACAAAGGGATCCATGGATTTGTGAAAGAAGGGGGAAAATTCAGGTGGAAAATCCATGTGGAGAGCAAACTTTTCATCCCATAAGCTGCCTCTCCAAAAGGATCCATGGATTTGTGGACAAAAGGGAAAATCCATGGGGAAAGCAAACTTTTCATGCCAAAAGTTGCCTCTCCAAAGGGATCCATGGATTTGAGGACAAAGGGGAAAATCCACATGGAAAATCCATGTGGAAAGCAAACTTTTCACCCCACAAGCTGCCTCTCCAAAGGCTTCCCTGGATTTGAGGACAAAGCTGGCTGGAGATGGAATCTCCTACTCACCCCAACACCTTTGCTCTCTACTTGTGGAATTCCAAGGACTCCCAGGCAGGGGAAGGATTGGAATGGGTTAAAAAGCGGGAATTCCCAGCTAAAAAAATTGGTGGTTTTTTTTTTTTTTTCCACCTGAGAGGATCAGCTCGGAATTCCAGGGTGGGATGAGCAGCCCCCCAGGGATGGGGAACACAGGGCAGGGGCCGGAGCAGCCCAGGGATCAGGTGGCAGGGCTGGAATTCAAGAGCAGGTGATCCATAATTCACCACATTCCCGGCACCTCCAGCTCCTGTTTCAGCCTCGGCCCAGACCTCTCGTGGCGATTCCGGCCCCGAATCCGACCCTGCGGAAAAGGCACTCCCAGGGATCTCAGGGACGCTTCTCCAGCAGCACTTCCAGCCCCAAATCCAGGGGGAAACACCAG